GATTCTTGGTCACTTTATCAATGTCTAAGGTAGCACAATTTCTGTGGTACTTACTATTAACTATTTCTAATACATGTTGTTTTTATGCTATTCAATTAAAGTAAGCTGTCTTTACTGAACAGCACACACTACTTGTGACCACCCAGAGTCGGTGGGGAACCTGACACCAGTCTACCATGCCAGTGTTCATTAATCCCCAGTTTGACACCATCCTTTACAAATGTATGTACAGGCTTCCTACAAGCTTTGTAAAAATTAGCACATTCAGAAGAATGATCACCTCTAGCTGAGAAATGGGGAAATGTTATTGGAAGGAGACCAGGAAATGCCTTGGAAAATATTCTACTTCTTAAGCTGGGTGATAGGTACCTAGATGTTGGCTTTATTATTATTTGCTATGATTTATAGGTATACATCATCTTTTGTAGATATGAAACATTTCATAATAAAACGTGAAGGAAGAAATGAATCTAGTCATGATTCACTTGCTCTAATATCATTTTTTATTTCTCTCCAGTTTGATGTGATGTAGCTGTCTGGATGCAAACCTTCCTGTCAGTTTGCGGAAACACAATTACCGGGTGATTTAGCGTGTATCCCCCATCCCAGCCCACAACCATCTCACTGATGGGTCTATGACATGAGACTAAATAAAACAGATCCCCAACAGAATCAGAAAAAAATATTAAATTCACTGCTTTGTTGATTTAATCCACCTAGCCGGCTGTCACATGGGATTAGAATAAAATAAACACAAAAATGAAAACACACGATTGCTAACAAAGCAGATTCTTTTTTCAAGACACATGTAAAGATAATAACTTCAAAGTTGATTATAATGTCTTGTCTTCCCAAGAATAACAAGACAAGTTCTTTCTTGGTTTCCTTCTATTCATTCTTCTCCCCTGACCCTGGTTGGGGGAGACCAGGGACCCCGATATGTAGTCCCACAGCACTCAACTCTAGTTCCACATGGAATTCTACATGTCCTCTTACATCTAGTTACATCTCCTCTTCCAGACTATAAACTCATGTGGAAAGGCCCCAGGTTTTTTCATGGGTGCTACTATCAGATGGCCCAGTTCAAACAACAGCTCTGTTTCTTACTTCCTGCGTAAGTTTCTTACCCTTTCTGTGCTTTCATCGTGATATGACGATTAACAAGATGACACATCTAAATTAGTTAGTACAGGGCCTGGTAGCATTTATAAGTAAACATTATAATAATTATTATTTACTATTACTATATGATGATCAAAGAGAAAACTGAGTTGACAGAGAAGAAAGAAAATATTATTCAAGTTCATGGTCAATGCTCAGGAAATGTTTGAAAACTGAGTCATGGAATCAAGCTCCAGAATATGTGGGATAATAAGAATGTTACCTCTCTGCTTGCTCATGCCTGAGGTTTGGGACCAGTGGAGCCAATGGGATCTCAGGGGCTTGTGACATTTCCATGGTACCACTCAGTGAAATTAATATATTCTGCATATTTAGTCAACATCTTCAGAGTCCTCATTTTGGAGTCACAAACTGGCTAGGAAATGATGATGCAGTGGTGGCAGGTCACATCTTCCAGTCCCCCAAAGCAGTCCTCAGGGTCTGCCCTTCCACACTGCAGGTACAATCTAGTCTCTTTAACTGGGTATACGTGTAAAGGTATTCCTTCATGGGGCTAGTTCTCTCTTTTCAAGAGAAATCTAATGATCACTGTTCCGGATATCTAGCAGTTTTCTCTAAAAGTCATGTTTCTCATGATAATTAAAAGTGTGATACATATTTAAAAATCCCCATGCAACCAGTGTAGAAACCTTACACCTTAAAGTCTGGCATTTATTATGTACATGAATTTATAATAAATGCTTAAGCTTTAAGTGACTTGCCTCTTAGATGACATCAGTGACATAAAACACACGCATACATTTTCATACTGAGAAAATACCAGTCGTGTTAATAAAAATTGTTGTATTTTGAGGTGAGAATTCCTGAGATCACTCTAGTCCCCATAAAATAAACTCATGAGGTCCTATAAAATTGTAATGATTGTGGTCCAATAGGCTCTGGCAGGCAGACAATTTATTATAAGATTTGTGGACTCACTAAAATGTTTTAATTAAAATAATTAATTAAAAATAATTAAAATAAAATTGAAGAGAATTAGAAGTAAATGAAAATAATAATGCTCTTTGAAAGTAAGATGGCTTAAAGAAAATTCAAAGTGGCATATCAAACAGACATTTATGGCAATGAACTTTAGAAGTAGCTCATTCTAATATTAATATGGAACTATTTAAAACTTTCACTGATGAGTGAAAAAGGGCAAATCAATAATGGATAACTGGAGAACATTCTTAGGATATAAAAATACAAAAAATGTAATAAATACTATAAAATCTAGTAAGTATTGTGTTTAAGATTTAAAGTAATGCCATAAAGTAATTCTTATTACAAAGTTATATTTCTTGAGAAATGGCAATTGAAGGATTTCAAAATATTATATTGACCTGTTCAAGTTTGGGCTCTTTCTTATCTCAGTTTTCAAATAAGACGAAAGTTTGCCTTTTTATCTATAGGCCAGATATTGACTGTGCTTTTATAGGAACTTCTCAGAAACAAAAGACCTCAACGATGTTGATATTTCAGAATGTAAGAAAATCTGTTATCACGATTATAATTATTTTCTCCATTTTAAAAAAATTCATGATCAGCAATTCCAATGTTGCCAGTATTCCAGTTGGGACCAGTTCAAAGAATTATAGCAACTCCTCAATTGCTATTTTAAGGACAGACATAATGTAGTCCAATCATCTCACTTTACTGATGTTATCTGAAGTCCAGGGAGAAGTCATGCAAGTTAATCAAGATAATCCTTATCTAGTTGGGGCAGATACAAGAGCCAGAACCCAGGTCTCCCAAGTGCTAAGAAAAGACACAAATATTAGTAATTATTAATAGTTCAGGAATTAATAGTTTAAGTAATTATTGTTTAAGGACACACATTATTAATAGTTTAAGGATGAAGTTAAATTTCTTAGACCTTTCACAACACATGTTGAGCAGACAGGAAATACCACTAGAAGACGTTACAAAGTATTTCTCAGCAGATCCTTGCTAATTTCGCCAGCCAGCATCATCGTCCTGGCCCATGTGCCATCCATTATTCCAGTGAGGCCAGAGGGAAAATCGCTGCTCTAGGTTTATGAAAAACGACAAACTTTTCTTTTCTGAAATTTCCGTCTGGAGACCCAGATTTTAAAAAGAATGCTAGCTAGTACCAGCGCCTTTGTTTAAACCACGTTATGCCACCAGAAAAAAACATCTCGAGGCGTAATAAACTAAGGGGCCTTTTTCTTCCGTTACTTCCCTCTAGTACTCCGTCTCGTTAAGGATCGCATGAAAAGTTCTTTTTGTACCGCTGTGCCCTGAGTGGCTCTAGGAAACACATTTCACGTTCCACAGAGGTATGAATGCTAAGAAATATCTTCCTGGAAGGAAAGTAAGAGGTACACCAGGCTAGGTCTTTGGCGGAACACCTGCGCAGAGATTCTTGGAGCCAACAGGACACCCTAGTTAGTTTCCTTCATTCTATAAAAGGCCCTCTGAATATCCATTTCAAGCCAAATTACGAAACTTATGCCTTGTGTCCAAATCTACCTTTATGGTATCTTAAAATGAAAATGAGAATAATTCAGGGGAAAACGTTGTTTTTAAAAAGAAGAAAGAGTTGTCCAAAAGTTTTAGAGGAAGGAAACTCTCTAAAATGCATCAGACGGCGAGCCACACTCAAATTCTCACACGGCTGGCATTTAATCTACAGCGCCCGAAAAGGCCCCTCAAGAATCCCTCCAGATTAGGGTAGATTAGGGCTCCTGGACCTGCTGACCTGCTGACCTGCTGGACGTGCAAGAGCTCATAGCAGTTCCCCGTTTGACCTTGCAGCAATTTCCTGGGCAGGAAATCTGTCAAATCTGATGCAATAGCTCGGGAAAAGGCAAGCCCGAACCCCAAACCCCCACACCCCGACCCTCGCGAGCCGAGTCCAGTGTGGAGATCAGCGGAGGGGACCCTGGGGACCCGCTGTGCTCGAGGGCCACGCCGGGGGGCGCGCGTTCACGAGGCCAGAGCCTGGAGCAGCGCCCGGCATCGGACCCCATGGGCTTGACGAACGGGTTCCTTACAGCCCCGAGGGGCCCGTGCTGGCGCTCCCAGGGCTCCCGGGACCGGGAGCGCCACTTACCTCGACTGCTCTGCCAGGCGCGGCGGGGCGCGGGAAGGCGGCGGGACTCTGGCGGGGAAAGCGAAGTGCGGTGCAGACGGCCGCACCCGGGCTCCAGGTCCCGGGCAGGAAGTGCTGTCAGCCCTGCCCTTCCCACGCAGCGCGCAGACGTGTGGCGCTATCCGAGCTGCTTTGCTCCGAGGTGCAAGGAGGGCCCCTGGTTAGAGACAGTGGGACAGACAAGCATTCGCGTAAAGGACTCCGAGTTAGGGGCTGCTTTCTCCAACTCTTCGAGTCTGCGCCTGATTTTCTATCCCCCAGCCCACTCCAACTACACAACAACTTTGAAGGGATTTTTTTTTTTTTTTAAATTCTGAGAAACGTTGCGCCTTCCTCTCTCATCCCTCCCCTACCTGAGCCGCGCGCGCCCTCCTCTCAGGAGCGTCTCCTGGCGAATGGACCCATTTTGCAGCCTAGACGCGAGAGGGACTAAGGGACTTGGGGCCCAGTGATGGTTCCACCAAAGACTGAGAGGCCGATTTATGTTGCAACGGTCTGCCTAAGTGTTTACTTCAGCACTTTCTGGGCTTCCTCTTTTGGGCCGATTGTGCAAGGCTTCCCGGCCGCCTGCAGCCCGCCCTCAGGGGACGCGGTGCAGGGCTAGACTGGCAACACGCGCGTCCCGGCCCGGAGTTCAGCTGTCTCTCGGGTGGGAGTGGAGGAAGGGCGCACTGGGCAGAGGCCCTTTCTCAGCCATCAGGTTGGTAACCTCACCCTCCTCCGTCCTCCCCACGTTTAAACACGCTCAGTTGGCGGGCCGGGGTGTAGAGGAATGGCACTATCATGCATTCCTCATAGAAATCCAAAATGGTCTGAACCTCGTGGAAGAGAATTGAGCAGTATCTATTTAACTTATGTATGGATTCGCCTTTTGACCCCGTCATCCCACTTCCAAGAGTGTAAAAACGAAGATCTGCTGATGAAAATAAGTAACGCACACGGCACAGGTACTCACTATTTGCAATAGCAAAGGACTGGCTGGAAATAGCACCTGTCAGTTGGGAGTGGAGTTTCCTGAGAGAAAGTTGCTGGAGAGATCTGAAAATACGGAAGTTAAAATCAGTTATGATTTGTAAATGCGGTTGAATAACCCTCCTCTTCTCCTTTACAGCTGTGTCTTCAAAGGCTTATATGTCGGGGAAGGTGGTGGAGATATAAACAAAGAAATTAGACGCATGTGTTAATTAGGCAATTTCAAATAGTTCTGTCATTTATTTAATGAGAAACTATTTCCTAAGCACCTACACTTCTAAGAACAATGAAAATAGAGGGAACAATTTCTGCTCTCATGCATGGTGCGTTCTATTTGGTAGAAAGCAGACAATAAACAAATTAATATTTAACATGTCAAGGAATGTAAGTGTTTTTGAGGAAAGTTAAAAGCTGAGGGACAGAGAGTGATGGGCATGGTGATGGAGTGGCTATATTAGGGTAAATAAGCGATAAATAAATAAATAGAATATAAAATTTCTCTTATGATTTTCTTGATAAGTTTCTTTTCTCTAGCTTTCTTTATTGTAAAAATACAGTATTTATTTAAATACATATAATATGTGTTAATTGACTGTTTATGCTATCAGTAAGGCTTCTGGTCAACAGTAGGCTCATCGTGGTTAAGTTTTGGGGGAGTCAAAATTATACATGAATTTTCAACTGTGCGGTAGTTTGGTACTCCTGAAACCTGGCATTGTTCTGTTACAGTAGGTAGCTAGTCAGGCATGAGCAGGGCAGGAGAGGGCTCCCCTCATCCCCTACCAGGAATGTCAGGTGACCATCAGGTGATGATCAAGCGGTTGTTATCTCTAAAATAATAATTGGACATAGCCAATTATTAGCCTTACAGATAACATAGTCGATTAACACATATTATATGTATTAAATACTGTATTTTCATAATAAAATAAGCTAGAGAAAAGAAACTATTATTAATAAAATCATAAAGAGAGAAAATATATTATTTATTTATCCTAAGTAATATAGCACCAGGGAAAGGCAGTCTCCCAATAGATAGAAACACCTGAAACTGGTGTTTCTGTCTGATAAGTGACACTTGAGCTAGATCTAAATGGCATGAGAGATTAATCCACATTGGGTTCTTAGATGGGAATATTCCAGGCCGAAGGAACAGCACATTCAAAGACCCTGAGTTAGGAGAGCACTTAAGATATTGGAAAAACACCAAGAAAGTTAGTACGGCTGAGCAGAGTGAGATGGGAGGGACAGATAGGAGATGGGATCAAAGAGGAAATGGTGCCCAGATTTTGTGTTATTTGGGAGCTGTGGAAGAGAATTTGATGTGAGTGAGATGGAAAGCCAGTGGAAGGTTCTGAGCAGTTGTAAGTGCCACATAGAATGTAAAATCAAACAATGAGAATGACTTTCGTGGGGCAGGGAAAGTGGTCAAGGATCAGATCTCCTCTTTACAAAGTAATAAGAAGGGGCAGCCATTCAGAAACTTGGGAAAGGATTCTAAGAGAAGGAAGAGCAAGAAGAGGGGTTGAGATAGGAACACAGGAAGTTCAAAAGAAGGCAGGCCAGTGTGCCTGGAATGTTCTCAAAGAGTAGGGCAGCGATAGTGGATGGGGACAGACAGGTAAGCAGGAACCAGAACAAGCAGAACCTTGTAGCCAGCGTTGAGAACTTCAGGTTTTATTCTAATTGCAACGGGGGGCTACTGGAATGTATTTAGCAACTGAGTGCAGGATTTGACTTAAGCAATAAGCCATCCTGCCAGTTGGTGATTGTTCGGAAAATCGATTGAAGCAAGAGAAGAGAGATTGCTCAGAGGCTGTGGTCATAGTCCAGATGAAAGATGATAGTAGCTTTATTAATATTCTAACAGTAGAGATGGTGAGAAGAGTTTGGAATCAAGATATAGTTTTCAAAATAAAACCAAGGCTTGGCACAGTTGCTCGTGCCTGTAATATCAGTGCTTTGGGAGGCCAAGATGGGAGGATTACTTGAGGCCATGAGTTCAAGACTAGCCTGGGCAACGTAGCAAGACCCTGTCTCTACAAAAATGGGTGAAAAAATTAGCTGGGCATGGTGGCTTATGCCTGTGGTTCCAGTTGCTTGGGAGACTGAGGCAGGAGGATTGCTTGAGCCCAGGAGTTGAAATCTGCAGTGAGCTATGATGATGCCACTGTACTCCAGCCTGGGCAACAGAGCAAGACTATTTAAAAAAAAAAACAAAAAAACAAACAGAAAAAACACCTAGCACAGTAGAACCAATAGCTTTTGCTGATGAGTGGGCTGGGAAATGGGGTGGGAGTAAGGGAGTGGCAGAGGGATTGGAAACTGAATGGAAACCGGTATGATTGGAGTTATGGAAGGTCTGGTTAGAGGTAAGGTCAGTAGGGGCAAACCATGTTGGGTCATGTGGAGTATGTCAAGAATTATTTTCTCATCCTAAGAACAATGAGAATATATTAAATAATATTTTAAGCTGGCAAATGATGGGATTTATGCTTCAGGAAAATCACTCTGGCTATAATTTGGGGAACTGATCAGCTGAAGAAAAGAATGGGTGCAGGAAGACTTCTGAGCTAAGTTGGGAAAGAAAATACAATTGGCCTTTGAGCTACTAGCAGCAGAATATATCTGAGACATGGCACCAGAGTATGTTAGCTTTGGTGAAACCATATGGGTCTGTAGCGACCTGATTTCTTGCCTCCTCAAAAGCAAGAATTCAACTGAGGGGCATAAGGCAACTGAAGAGATTGAGGCAAGCTTTAGAGCAGGAGTGAAAGTTTATTAGAAAACTTTAGAGCAGTAACAAAAGAAAGTAAAGTACCCTTGGAAGAGGGCCAAGCGGGTGACTTGAGAGAAGCACGCTGTTTGACTTTTGACTTGGGGCGTTACACACTGACATGCTTCAGGGTCTTGTGTTCCTCCTCCCGATTATTCCCATGGGGTGGGCTGTCCACGTAAGCAGTGGCCTGCCAGCACTTGGGAGATGAGCATGCGCAGTGTGTTTACTGGAGTTGTATGCATGCTCACTTGACATGTTCTTCCCTTACCAGTCAAATGTTCCTGGAAGGTCATTTGCCAGTTAAACTCCACCATTTTACCTCTTAGTGCACATGCTTGAGCCCACTCGCCCAACTCCTGAGATCTTATCTAGAAGATGCTGATCACCAGTTTCAGGTGTTTCTATCTATCGGGAGACTGCCTTTCCCTGGTGCCGTCTGCGATCAATTATTATTTTAGAGAGACAGTTAACAATCCCCTGACCATCACCTCATAGTCGCCTGACATTCCTGGTAGGGGGTGAGGGGAGCCCTCTCCTACCCTGCTCATGCCTGACTAGCTACCTACTGTAACAGAACAATGCTAGGTTTTAGGGGTACCAAAGTGCTGCACAGTTGAAAATCCATGTAAAACTTTTGACTCCCCCAAAACTTAATTACCAATTGCCTACTGTTGACCAGAAGCCTTACTGATAACATACAGTCGACTAACACATATCATATGTATTAAGTACTGTATTTTTACAATAAAGTAAGCTAGAGAAACTGTTATTAACAAAATCATAAGAGAAAATAGATTTTCTATTTATTTATTTTTTATTTATTTTCAGAGTCAGTCTCACTCTTTTCCTGGACTAGAGCGCAGCGGTGAGATCGTAGCTCCTTGTAACCTCAAACTCCAGGGCTCAAGGGATCCTCCTGCCTCAGCCTCCTGAGCAGCTGGGACTATAGGCATGCACCATCATGTCCAGTTAATTTAATTTAATTTAATTTTAAATAATTTTTTGTAAGATGAGGTCTTGCTATGTTTCCCAGGCTTGTCTCAAATTCCCAGCCTCAAGCGATCTTCCTGCCTCCGTCTCCCAAAGTTCTGGGATTACAGGCATGAACCACTGTGACTGACCTCATATTTACTATTTATTTAGTGAAAGTGGATCATCATAAAGGTCTTCATCCTCATCTTCTTCACGTTACTCAACTTTAGAAGGAGGAAGAGGAGGGGCTGATCTTACTGTTTCAGGGGTGGCAGAAGCAGAAGGAAATCCAAGTATAAATGGACCCATGCAGTTCAAACCCATGTTGTTCAAGGATCAACTGTATAATGGTTTTGACTAGGTTGGCAGCAGTGGAAATGGGAAGAAATGGGTGAACCTGAGAGATATTTAGAAGGTAGTTGGCCAGAGATTAAGATGACTGGATATAGGCAGAGGGAGAAGAGTGGGGGAGGCAAAGATGACTCCTAAGAATCAGGTTTATGTGATGGTGGCTGACAGTCCCATCATCAAGATGGGGAACTCTGGAAGAGGAGCATTTGGGCAGGGGAAGATAATGAGTTTTATTGCTTGCAAGTTGAATTTGACAAATCTTTAGGACATCCAAGGGGAGACTTCAAGTAGAGAATTGTATATAAGAATCCTTTGCCCAGAGAAGTGTGGTTCAGAGTTAGAGATATACATTTTAAGTAATCATCATATAGGTGGTGATTTATGAGTTTGCATAGAGAGACGATGGTGTGGGACGGAACAGAGGCCTCAGGCTAAGCCTTAAGGAACTCCACTGTCCAAAGCAAAGGACACAGAGCCCACAAAGAACACAGAGGGAAGAGCGTTAAAGGGGTGGATGGAAAACCAGGGGAAGCCACAATGTGGGAGGATGTGGTCAGCCATATCCAGAGATGTTGCAAGGACAAGTTGGACAAGACGGCAACATGGTAATTGGCTTTAGCAATGTTAGTGACCTCAGAAACCAATTGTAATAGCGTGATGGGGCTGGAGGCCAAAGTGGGTTGAGGAGTGAATAGAGTGTGAAAAAATGAAGATGGTGAGCAAAGCAACACTTGTCAATAGTTTGCCTATTGTATTGATCTGTTCTCACACTGCTAATAAAGACATACCTGAGACTGGGTAATTTATAAAGAAAGGAAGTTTAATTGACTCATAGTTCATCATGGCAAGGGAGCCCTCACAATCATGGTGGAAGGGAAATGAGGAGCAAAGTTACGTCTTACATGGCAGCAAGCAAGAGAGCATGTGCAGAGTAACTCCCATTTATAGAACCATCAGATCTCATGACACTTATTCACTATCATGAGAACAGTATGGAAGAAATGGTTGCCATTATTCAGTTATCTCCACCTGGACCTGCCCTTGACACGTGTAGATTATTACAATTCAAGGTGAGATTTGGGTGGGGACACAGCCAAACCATACCACCTATGAAGAGGGGAAAGGGGACAGGGAGGCAGTGGTTGGGGGATATGAAATTGAGGAAGATTTTATTTATTTACTTACTTTATTTTTATTTTATTTTATTTTATTTTATTTTATTTTATTTTATTTTTAGAGACAGGGTCTTGCTCTGTTGACCAGGCTGGAGTGCAGTGGTGCGATCACAGCTCACTGCAGCTTCTAAGTCCTGGGCTCAAGCGATCCTCTCACCTCAGCATCCCAAAATGCTGGGATTATAGGCATGAGCCCCACTGTACCCAGCCGTTTATGTATTTTTTAAAATGATTTTCAAACAGGAAGAATTGAGATGAGAGTGAGGAGTTGACATTAACAAGAGAGTAGAAATAATTGATGGTGAAAAGTTTTCAAGATGGAGGAAGTGGGTTGAGTCCAAATGTAGGTAAATGAATGGGCCCCCAGATAAGAGAAAGGAGACCTCCTTCATTTTACTGGAAAGGCAGAAGGGTGGGTTTGGAGTAGATAAGGATTTTCTTTCATATGGCTGTAAGATAAGGAAATTCTAATCTAAAGCCTCTGTTTTCCCTGTGAGAAGCAGGGTCATCTGCTGAGAGTGAACTATGAGGTAGGCCAGGCATGAATTTGGGGAGATGGAGAAAGTTTGATAAGGTCATTGCAGAGAATGGGAGAGAGAGATGATCAGAAACATGTTATGGGATTTCCAGGCAGACTGCGCGTCCGTTTGAAACTGGCGATCATGAATTAAGGTGGAAGCCATCTGCTCGGTTGTGCCTCTCTCCTGCAGGGCTAGGTTTGGAGAAAGTGTGGCCGCCACGGGAGTGGCCAAACAAACCAGATGGAAGGATGTGAAATTGTGGTCAGAAGGTAGGCAGGGTGAACTTGCTTCTGGAGGTAGTGAGATAACGGGTGCTGACGTAGTCCAGGGGTGACCGTGGGCCTGCGTGGCTGAGATGACCAAGGAAATGAGAGGCTAAGGGGCTATGCGCATAATCCCAGCTAACTGTTTAAGTCAGTCAGTATTGGGGTGGCCACATCATTTATTATCTCAAGACTGGGACACTTTTGAGAGTACCAAATCTCCAACTGGATAGGAAGCTAAGAAACAGTTGTAGGCCACGTGCAGTGGCTCACACCTGTAATTCCAGCACTTTGGGAGTTCAAGGCAGGAGGATCGCTTGAGTCCAGGAGTTTGAGACCAGCCTGGACAACACAACAAGACTATCTCTACACAAAATAAGAAATTAGCTGGGTGTGGTGTGTGTGCCTGTAGTCCCAGCTACTCAGGAGGTTGAGGTGGGAGGATGGCTTCAGCCTGGAAGTCTGAGTCTGCAGTGAGCTGTGTTCATGCCACTGCAGTCACCCTAGGTGACAGAGCAAGACCCTGTCAAGAAAAAAAAAAAAAGACAGAAACAGTTATAATTCATGACTGTCTCAGGCAAACAGAATGATGACAGGATTTAAGGTCATCTTAAAGGGTGACAGGGAGTCACGTGTCAGGGTTTTGAAATAAGAAAGCAGAACTGGATTGTTTAGTTAAGTGGCATGAGCCTCAAAAGGGAAAGCTTTTTTCGTTTGCTTTTAGTTTTGTTTTTAATAAAAAGATTAGTCAATTATGATTTGCAAGTAGCAGTGAGGAACATGGAGAACAACAAACTCACCTTCCAAACTTAAGGTGGCTGGAATTTAAGAGAATAAACCACTTTGTTTTGAGAAAGCTGCAGTGGAAATGGTGTCCTCAAGGCAGAGTTAAAGCCTGAGGTTAGCAGAACACTCCAGAAATAGCTTCAAGATACAGGAGTGGCAAGAAAGAGTTTGGGAGGTGGGGAAGAGAATGACCCATGGGGCCATGAACACAGATGAAGAGCCCATCATGAAGATGAGGGTGTGGGGGAAAAACCCCCAGGTGACTTTCTATCTGGAGAGTGACCAATGAAAACAGACTTCAGTCAGACGCAGTGGCTCACATCTGTGATCCCAGCACTGTGAGAGGCTGAGACAGCCAGATCACTTGAGGTCAGGAGTTTGAGACCAGCTTTGCCAACATGGTGAAATCCTATCTCTATTAAAAATACAAAAATTAGCGTGGTGGTGCATGCCTGTAATCGCAGTTACTCAGGAGGTTGAGGCAGGAGAATCTCTTGAGCCCAGGAGGCGGAGGTTGCAGTGAGCTGAGATTGCATCACTGCACTCCAGCCTGGGTGACAGAGCAAGACTCTGTCTCAAGAAAATAAAAGCAGAATTCCTTAGGTATCTTGGAAGAAGATGGCTAGTGGCTAAAAGATGTGTGCTATGGAACTGTAAAGAAACTCAGTCTACATTGAGTTGGAATTTGACTGTCTCACTACCTCATTCTGTTGGCAAGACCATCAAATCCAACATGTATTCTGGTCAATCTCTTCCTGGCCAGATAACATTCACCTTCTGTAAGGGGACCTGGGTTGACTTGAAATCAGAATCCTGCAACCTTTTTCTTTTTCTTTCTTCTTCTTCTTCTTCTTCTTCTTCTTCTTCTTCTTCTTCTTCTTCTTCTTCTTCTTCTTCTTCTTCTTCTTCTTCTTCTTTTTTTAACAGATACTTTTTCTTTAGTTTAGCATTTTATAAAGCTTTGTCCATTTATTTTATTTGACTTGACTTCAATTGTGGTTGATATTAGTTTCTGATTTAAATATCTAGCTTATTTTTAAAAATCTAACTTGTATGCCATCTGGAGTAGACTGTATTTCCCAAAGATAGCCGTGGCCACATCTTCCTTTCCCATTAAGAGGTAGGATCTATTTCTCTCCCTCTCCCTTGAATGTACTTTGACTGATAGAATAGAGTAGAAGTGATGGTGAACATAGCACTTAAATCCTGCCTCTTCTGGCCTTGAGCAGTCATGAAGAAGTCCTGACTACTACGTTGGCAATGAAGCCACATGGTGGGGCATGGAGGCATCAGATGTGAAATGAAGACACCATTTTCAACACCCAGCCCCAGGAAGACTTCAGATGATTCCAGTGCCAGCTGTTCTCTAAATACAACTGCATGAGAGACCAAGGGAGAACCATCCTGCTGAGCCTCATATCCCTGAGAGATGATGATAAATGGCTGTCTTAAGCCTCTAAGTCAATGGTCCCCCAGGGACTAAGTTCATGGCACCAGGGACTGGGTTCATGGAAGATAATTTTTCCAGATTGGTGGGGGGTGGGGGGAATGGTTTCAGGATGATTCAAGTGCGTTACATTTGTTGTGAACTTTATTATTATTACATTGTAATTTATAATGAAATAATTATACAACTCGCCATAATGTAGAATCAGTGGCAGCTCTAGGCTTTTCCTGCAACTAGATGGTCCCATCTGGGGGTGTTGGGAGGCAGTGACAGATCATCAGACATTAGATTCTCATTAGGAGCTCACAACCTAGATCCCTCACATGCACAGTTCACAATAGGGTTTGTGCTCCTATGAGAATCTAATGCTGCCGCTGATCTGACAGGAGTCAGAGCTCATGCAGTAATGCAAGTGATATGGTTTGGCTGTGTCCCCATCCAAATTTCATCTTGAATTGTAGCTCCCATAATCCCCACATGTCATGGGAGGGACCTGGTAGGAGGTAACTGAATCATGCAGGTGGGTTTTTCCCGTGCTGTTCTCATGATAGTGAATAAGTCTCATGAGATCTGATGGTTTTATAAGGGGCAGTTCCCCTGCACATGCTCTCTTGCCTGCCACCATGTAAGATGTGCCTTTGCTCCTCCTTCGCCTTCTACCATGATTGCAAGGCATCCCCAGCCACGTGGAATCATGAGTCCATTAAACCTCTTTTTCTTTATAAATTACCCTGTCTCGGGTATTTCTTAAGGGCAATATGAAAATGGACTAATACAGTGAGTGATGGGGGGCAGCTGTAAATACAGATGAAGCTTCACTCGTTTATCCACTGCTCACCTCCTGCTGTGTGGCCTGGTTCCTAAGAGGCCACGGATGGGTACCAGTTTGTGGCCTGGGGCTTGGGGACCCCTGCTCTAAGTGTTGGTTTCTTCACAGAAGTAGACACCCAAGACACCATCTTGGGTATTTGTGCGTCTCACTTTTTCTGTCACAGTCAAGTTTCAATGCTTTAAATTTTTAAATATTATAAACTGGCAATAAAAAATAACTCTGCTCATGATTTCGATTTTAACCACATCAGGGATATATAATTAGTATATTTTTACTAATTACATGTTTTACATATAGTGAATATATTTTCTCTTGCCTGTTAACAAGATCCTCCCTCTACCTGCCTCCTTACCTGCTACTTGTCCCTGACCTTTGTTTGAAGCCAACTCTTCTTTCTCTCACACACTCCAGAGGTAGTCAGCGGGAGGAGAACGAGAAAAGAAAGGATGAAGACCAGCAGCAGGACGAGAGGAGTGGAGAAGACATGAGAGAGTTCAAGAAGGCTTAGGAGAGAATCTTTGATGGGGAGCTAAGAGCAAGGTGAGGAGAAAAGGGTTCGAGGGAAACTGCAGGATATGAGAAGGGTGGAGGTGAGAAGAAAGGGAGGAAGGGGGTTTTAAGAAGTATGAACTTGGTCTAAAATTAAATTGGCTGCTGGTTTCTTTGCACAGACACTGCACAGGGGCTGTGCCCATGGGAGGGGGCCCAGTGTTAGTCAGGGCACTAAATAAGCATTAAATTCGTGAAACTCTGAGATAAACATTTGGTGCTTGAACAAGGCAGGGGTTAGGTGAACCGACCTCTGTGCAGTTGAAAATTCCACACGTAACTTTTAACTCCCCCAAATCTCCACTGCTAACAGCCTACTGTTGATCAGAAGCCTTACCGATAACATAAAGAGTTAATTAACACATATTTTGTATGTTATATGTATGACATACTGTATTCTTACAATAAAGTAAGCTAGGGAAAGGAAAATGTTAAGAAAATCATAAGGAAGAGAAAATATATTTACATGACTTAGCCACTCCACCCATCCCTATATGCACAAATATTCTAACTTTTGGAAATTATATTTTCTGAATGTTTGCCACCATTTCAATAAAATGATATCTGCTCTTGAAAAAAATGTTAATAAAATAATATCTGCCCTAGAAGCTGATTATCCAACCTTTATTAGGTTCATCAAGTGGAAGTGGACCATCATAAAGGTCTTCATCCTCATCATCCTCACGTTGAGCAGGCTGAGGAGGAGGAAGAGGTCTTGTTGTTTCAGGGGTGGCAGAGGCAGAAGAAAATTCATGTATAAGGCTGGGTGCAGTGGCTCACACCTGTAATCCCAGCACTTTGGGAAGCTGTGGCAGGTGGATCACGAGGTCAAGAGATCGAGACCATTCTGGCCAACATGGTGAAACCCCGTCTCTACTAAAAACACAAAAAGTAGCCGGGTAGGGTGGTGGGCGCTTGTAGTCCCAGCTACTCAGGAGGCTGAGGCAGGAGAACGGCGTGAACCTGGGAGGCGGAGCTTGCAGTGAGCTGAGATTGCACCACGGAACTCCAGCCTGGGTGACACAGCGAGACTCGTCTCGAAAAGAAAAGAAAAGAAAAGAAAAGAAAAGAAAATGCACGTGTAAATGGACCCATGCAGTTCGAAGGCATGTTGTTCAAGGGTCAACTGTATATGCATACACTGTCTCTCCCTAGAGCATGTGTCTGTAAACCAGTTATCATGACTACCTAGTATAATTGATTAAAAGCACAAAACACATGGGGATTGTTTGATTTGCAAGGATCAAAATCCGTTCAAATGGGCTCAAGCCAAAAGGGAAGTTATTGGAGAGAAGCTCTGATAGCTCATGGAACAGCAGGAAGGATAGCCAGGTCTTGAGGGACAAGACCAAGAACTCCAGGACCCCCAGGGAGTCTCTCCATCTCTCTTTCTTTGTGTGCTTACATGATTGATATCTAATATTCTCTAATATTCTCTGCCCAACCTTTTTATCCTTTTTCTGCAGATCAGCTTTCTCTGGTCTACCACAGCCATTGCCCTGGATCAGGTTTCCTGGACTCCAGACTTGTGGAGATGGAGATGGTGCAGAAAGTTCCCTAGGAGAGCTTTCAGGAAAAATATCTGTAACGTAGGGCAGGAAGAAGGATTGGATCCTGGGAGAAATTAAACTATGGTGCAGCAGCAACGGAGTCCCCAGCCAATTCTTCAGGGAGTTCTAGGCCAGACCTTTTAACTGCTCCCGTTGACCAGCCATTGGATGCTGGCTGTCCCTGGCTAGAGGGACATATCTTTAGACAAAGTGAATCCCTTTGGTCAAGGGTGATTTCTGGGGAGAATCTCTGCTATGAATAGTCAGTAGCTAGCACCCTTGCAAGGGGGATGATGAGCCCTGGGTTCATCATTCAGCTGCCCAGCCCAGCTTGACCTCATGTCTCATCTCAAACACCAACTGAGACTGAAGGGAGTCCCTGTGTTCCACTTCCAAATTCCCATGAGCATCTCACTGGATTAGGTGTCTTTTTCCTGTTCTGATAAGCTCTCGCCCTGAAAGTCAGGTCACGAGACACATTACCCACTGGGTATTAACTAACACATTTGCTAATAATCAATTAGCAAAAACAATTTGTCTTTGAGGATAAATGCAGATTTGTCTTTTAATAATAAATGCAAGTCAGCAGAGGTTGGATAATCAGTTTTTAGGGCAGATATTACTTTATTAACATTTTTCGTTCAAGAGCAGCTATGACTTTATTGAAATAGTGGCAAACATTGAAATGGTGGCAAACATTCAGAAAAATATGATTTTGAAAAGTCAGATAGGTGGGGTGATAAGTCATGTAAAAACAAGCAAGCCCACATTTATCCAGAAGACAAGTGAATACTTATCTTTATTATTAATTCTTTTATTATTTATTTATTTATTTATTTATTTATTTTTTGAGACAGTCTTGCTCTGTCACCCAGGCTGGAGTTCAGTAGCATGATCTCGGTTCACAGCAACCTCTGTCTCTCAAGTTCAAGCGATTCTCATGCCTCAACCTCTCGTGTAGCTGGGATTACAGGCACACCACCACACCTGGCTAATTTTTGTATTTTTAGTAGAGATGAGGTTTTGCCATGTTGGCCAGGCTGGTCTTGAACTCCTGACCTCAAGTCATCTGCCTGCCTTGGCCTGCCGAAGTGCTGGGATTCCAAAGTGCTGGGATCTCAGAGTGGCGTGAGTCACTGGGCCTGGCTAATATTTACCTTTTAACAGCATATTTTACCCTTTTGTTTACAACATCTTTAGTTTTGCCTTTTCCGGAATGTCGTGGAGTTGGAATCATACAGCATGTCACCATTTTAGACTGGCTTAATTCACTTAGCAATGTGCATTGAGGATTTATCACGTCTTTGTGCGGCTTGATAGCTCATTCCTTTTTACTACTGAATAATATTTGGTTATATAAATATATTGCAGCTAGTTTATCCATTCATCTATAGAAAGCCAGAAAAGGGGTCTCGAGCTAGACTCCAAGAGAGGGTTCTTGGATCTTGCACAAAAAGGAATTCAAGGCAAGTTGCAGAATGCAGTGAGAAGAGTTGGTTTATTGAAAGCTACCTAGATACAGAGTAGGGTGTCTCAGAAAGCAAACAGAAGAATGCACCATCTTTGTTTGAGATTTTTCTTATGTAGAGGTCTTGTCTATGACGAGACTAAACTAAGCTGTGCCTGTGTGTGGGTGGGTTGACAGCATGACAGAATTTATTATTTGATTGATTGAAAGAAAACTATCTTGACAGTTTAGTGTGTAAGTACATCAAAGCATAACTATAGTTATCTTGAAAGCATATCTCGTTATGGCTATTGGAACATCTGGACTTTCTGTTGCTGTAGGAGTTTGTTCTTGCAGGCATTACCAAGGTACCTCCTTAGCTTTGTAAGTGACTGGTAAGCAATGCTAGTTTTAAGATGAAGGAGATTTTAAAATGGTGTCATCCTCCTAGTTTTAAGATGGAGGTGATTTAAAAATGGTGTCGGCCAGGAGCTGTGGCTCATGCCTGTAATCCCAGCACTTTGGGAGGCTGAGGCGGGTGGATCATGAGGTCAGGAATTCGAGACCAGCCTGAACAACATGGTGAAACCCCATCTCTACTAAAAATACAAAAATTAGCCTGATGTGGTGGTGCACGCCTATAATCCCAGCTACTTAGGAGGCTGAGGCAGCAGAATCGCTTGAATCCAGGAGGTGGAGGTTGCAGTAAGCCAACATCGTGCACCGTTGCACTCCAGCCTGGGCGACTCTCTGAAAAAGAAAAGAAAAGGTGTCATCCTAGGCTCCTGCTTCCCTAACAGAAATACATCTTGGTTACTCACAGCTTTTGGTCATTATGAATAAAACTGCTATAAGAAATCACACACAGGATTTTGTGTGGACATAAGTTTTCAGATCAGCTGGGTAAATTCCTAGGAGTGTGATTGCTGGATTGTTATATGTAAAATGTTTATTTAGAAACAGAATGCTTGTTCCCTGGTGCTGCAAATATATAGCACTTTAACATAAATTTAATTCTCTCAGCAAGGCCAATTTTACTTTCTGCAGAAAGGGTGCTCATCGCAGATTAACAGTGGCTACAGCACACCTGAACAAAGGAAGGAAGTGATTTTTATCCCTTATGCAGTTTGTCTCTGCTACTGTGTCCTGTCTCCATTGGCTGGAGCCAGACCTCACAATCTAAACTAAAACCCGATTGGTTAACAGTTTAAAACTTTTCTAAATAGGTGAAAGTAATGGAAAGACAAAGGAAAAGAGGAAGTTGCTTATGTCAAAAAAGGAAGGGGCATAGGCTGCAAGCTAGAACATACCTGTGAGCGTGTCCAGCACAAATATCTTGGTTAAGGTACAAGGACATAGAACGTACTACATGCCTGTGAGCATGTTTAACAGCTACATAGGATAGGCTTAACAAAGAGTTATTAGCACAAAGCAAGGAGGCCTGAAGGAAGTTAGTTTTTAAAAGAAACTATTATTTTTAACTCTTATGATTTATTCTTTAACAAGAAGGGAAACTTTGAAGAGGAACTTTTACTTTCTACATGGATCATATAAGAAGACTATGGTTAGTTTTGTAAGAAGCTGCCAAACTGTCTTCCCAAGTGGCTGTACCATTTTGCATCCCCAGCAACAATAAATGAGAGCTCCTGTTGCTCTGTGCTGTTACCAGCAATTGCTGTTGTGGCTTTTTTCAGATTTAAGCCATTCTAATGGGTATGCAGTGGTATCTCATTGTTGCTTTAATTTGCATTTCCCTAATGACAAATGATATTGAGCATCTCTTCTTGTGCTTAATTGCTATCTGTAGATCTTTCGCCCATTTTTACTTGGCTTTATTGTATTATTGATGAGTTTGTAAGAGTTCTTTGGATATTTTGAGATGACTGGATTTTTGCTATTTGATTCCTGCTTACTTAGAATTAACCCTGCAAGGCCTGAAAAGCTTCTTCTCCCACCCTCATTTCCTTTCACACAGTGGTGGCAAATGGCAGCTACCATCAGTTAGCTTTTGTATGAAAGACCAGATTTGGTAAAAGGTGGTTTAGGGCTGTAAAACGTGTGAAAAGGCAGGCTATAACATCTTTACTTAAAATACCTCCTCTATTAAAGGGACCATTGGTTTCATCCAGTGTGGTTCTCAATTCTGGGTGCACATTAGGACCACCGGGGTAACTATTAAAAATACTGATGTCCTAGCCAATATCTTAAAATTTTTTATTTATAATTTTTTCTTTTTTAGAGATAGAGTCTTGTTCTGTTACCTAGGGTAGAGTGCAGTGGCACCGTCATAGCTCACTGCAGCCTTGAACTCCTGAGCTCAAGCAATATTCCTGCCTCAGCCTCCTGACCACCAGGTCTGGCTTATTTTACTTTATTTTATTATTTTATTTTTTGTAGAGATGGAATTTTCCCTATATTGCCGAGGCTGGTCTCAAACTCCTGGCCTCAAGTGATCCCGCTACTTCAGTCTCCCAAAGTGCTGGGATTAGAGGTGCAAGTCATATCACCCAGCCCAATATCTTAAAATAATTGTTGATATCAATACTTCAACATCAACTAAAACCATATTAGACACTGCTACATATCCACTTAAATGGCTACAATAAAAATCATTGATCAAGTCAGGTGTGGTGATGTGTACCTGTGGTCCTACCTGCTCAGGAGGCTGAGGTAGGAGAATTCCTTGAGCCCAGGAGTTTGAGACCAGCCTAGGCAACATAGCAAACACAGCAAGACCCTGTCTAAT